ATAGACATCTCTGGTCTCTTTGAAATTTGTGGGCTGGAATGTATTGGTCATATTTGTTCAAAATCCCTTGACAATTATCTCTCTCTCTCTATATGTGTGTGTGTGTGTGTGTGTGTGTCTTTTTCTGTATTTTATTTATGTTAAGGAAATAATAAAAAAGATGGATTGGAGGAAGAGTGCTGGGCTGAAAACAACAGAATGAAATTCAATAGGGACAAAAACAAAGTTCTACACCTAGGAAAAAGAAACCAAATGCATAGTTAGAGGCTACTTGAGTCAACAATACAAGTGCAAAGGATCTTGGAATTGTTGTATGTCACAAGCTGAATAAGAGTCAACACTGTAATATGGCTGCAAAAAAGGGCAAATGCTATTCTGGGATGTATTAATAGAGATATCACTTCCAAATCAAGTGAAGTACTAGTTCCTCTCTACTCATCACTGGTTAGGCCTCATCTTGCATACAGCATCCAGTTTTGGGTACCAGTTTCAGAAAGATGCAGACAATCTGGAAAAGGTTCAGAGTGAGGGAGTAACAAAGATGATCAGGGGACTGGAAACAAAGCCCTATGAAGAGAAAATACTTTTATTTAATTTTAAAATATGCATATTTGAACACATGTTTCCACTGTAATAAAAAGATTGTTCCCATGTCTTCATAATCATGAACTAACTTTTCACAGAATATAGGTGCTTCATATGGAGGGCTTCTAGTGCTACCAATCAAAAGGCATTATGCAGTGATTCCATCTTTTCCTCCTTAACAGATTCTTTTTCTGGTTAAAAAAAAGATGCAAGAACCAGTGGGGACACTAGAGGATTACAAGTTGAAGAGAATTTTGCCTGAACCCACCGTAAAATTTGGTAAATGAAGCAGGGTGATTGTGAGCCATCCCAAGATGCCACGCACATGGAATGGCATGTAAAAGTTTTAAATAAATAGATAAATAAAATAGAATTAATAACCTTGCCTGGAAGCACCCTTGATCCTTTGCTTCTGACCCGGAAATTGGCAGAACTACTACTCAGAAGTTTGAGGTTTATGTGTCTGCTAGGAACCAGAGAGGGATGAAGTTACATGTTTGCCACATAATCACCTATCTTGGACATTTCTTTTAGAAATAGGAGCTGAAGGCTCTGCAGTCCTGATTAGTAGCATGCCATGTGTCAGGCAATATTTAACCTTCCTGAGCTATTTTCCCACTGAAACTCCACATCATCCCCAAAGTTTTTACAACAGCAAATGACAGTTCTGGGGGCAAAGAGATAGTAGTTTTAGCAGGAAAGAATTTTCAGGGGGGAAAGATGAAGTCAGGGAAATTCCCTGTATACAGTCCCTTTGGATTCCCCTACCCAGTATGACCACTATTTCTAAAAGAAAAATAAGCCCAGGATAGAAGATATCCTGGCAAAGGTATTGACTAGTCCAAGTTTCATACAAATATAGATATATTTATTACAACAAGGCACATTTTGAACATATTCACATACAGAGGAGTCATTCTATATCTTACATACAGTAGATGGTCCCTTTTAGCCCTATGTAGTTAAAGTGCCAGCAATATGCCAGCAAACTTGGGAAACTCAACAGTGACCACAGAATTGGAAAAGCTCAGTTTATGTTCCAATCCCAAAGAAAGGCAATGCCAAAGAATGTTCAAACTATCATACAATTGCACTTATTTCACACACTACCAAGGTTATGCTCAAAATCCTACAAGCTAGGCTTCAGCAGTTTGTGGACCGAGTACTATGAGAAGTACAAGCTGGGTTTCGAAGAGGCAGAGGAATGAAAGATCAAATTGCCAGCATACACTGGATCATGGAGAAAGCTAGGGAGTTCCATAAAAACATCTACTTCTGCTTCATTGACTATGCTAAAGCATCTGATTGTGTGGATCACAACAAACTGTGGCAAGTTCTTAAAGAGATGGGAGTACCAGACCATCTTGTCTCCTGAGAAACCTGTATGTGGGTCAAGAAACAACAGTTAGAACTGGGCATGGAACAACTGATTGGGAAAGGAGTATGACAAGGCTGTATATTGTTGCCCTGCTTATTTAACTTATATGCAGAGCACATCATGTGAAAGGTCAGGCTAGATGAATCACAAACTGGAATTAAGATTGCCAGGAGAAATATCAACAACCTCAGATATGCAGATGGTACCATTCTAATGGCAAAAAGGGAAGGGGAACTAAAGAGCCTCTTGATGAGGGTGAAAGAGGAGAGTGGACAAGTTGGCTTGAAAATCAACATAAAGAAAACTAAGATCATGGCATCCGGTCACTTCCTGGCAAATAGAAGGGGAAGAAATGGAGGAAGTGACAGATTTTATTTTCCTGGGCTCCAAGATTGGGGTGCAGATGGGAACTGCAGCCAAGAAATTAAAAGACGCTCCTGGGGAGAAAAGTGATGGCAAATCTAGACAGCATACTAAAAAGTAGAAACATCACCCTGCCAACAAAAGTGTGTATAGTCAAGGCTATGGTTTTCCCAGTGGCAATGTATGGCTGTGAGAGTTTGACCATAAGGAAGGCTCTGCGCTGAAGAAGTGATGCTTTTGAATTGTGATGTTGGAGAAAACTTATGAGAGTCCTTTGAAGTACAAAGAGACCAAATCAGTCAATCCTAAAGGAAATCAATCTTGACTGTTCTTTAGAAGGACAGATACTGAAGCTGAAGCTCATATTCTTTGGACACCTAATGAGAAGGAAGGACTCATTGGAAAAGTCCCTAATGCTGGGAATGATTGAAGGCAAAAGGAGAAGGGGACAGCAGAGGTTGAGGTCGCTGGATGGAGTCACTGGTGAACTCTGGGTAACAGTGGAGGGCAGGAGAGCCTTGAGTGCTGTGGTCCATGGGACCATGAGGAGTCAGGCACAACTCTGCGACTGAACAACACAGCCCAATGTAATCTCCTACTCCCTTTTCCTCGCATCACCTGTACATTGATTGGATAGGGTGGAGAGAGTGTTTTGTGAACATTTCAATTTACTAATTGTAAAGACTCTATCGAACCTGGTGATTTCTAGATGTGCTCTGTTACAGCTCCTAGTATGCCATGTTTAGCCATGCTGGCTGGACATACTGCGAGTTGTAGCTCAACATATCTGGAGGGTTTCAGGCTGAGGCAGACTGGTCTAGGTTCTGCCTTCCAGCTCCCCTACTCAAGTATCTCCTCAGATGACCTATTGGTATATAGACCTGCTGCTCCAGAATGTTCTTCTTTGTTGTTGTTATGTGCCATCACATCATCTCTGACTTATGGCAACCATATGAATGGAAGCTATCCAAAATGTCCTATTCATGACAGCCATCTACAGCTCTTATACTCGTAAATGTTTCTTTCGTTGATACATGCATTAAAGAGATGGCCAACGAGCTTGAGTTGGTTGTCCATTCTGGGGAATTGGGATGGTTATTCATTGTTCTGATCTCTGGCAGGTATGTAATGAAGATCCCATGACAATTCCCATGGACGTCTAGTTTTCATATCCGCTAATGAAGGACAAGTACCCAGTACAAGTTAATATGTTTTTCTCACAGTACAAAAGGTTATTTTTCCTTATCACCACTGGATGGCACAACAGAGAACACAATTATGCTTCTGTCCCTCCAAGGTTTTAGGATGCAGAAAGGGGAATCAATCAATATTTTGAACTTGGTTGTGTTCAGTGAAGAGAAAAGGAAATGAAAGAGATTGCTATAGGAAAGCTGACATAATGAAATAAGATATGGGAAGGCTGAGGCACTGCTCAGCTGTCCCTATTCACCAGCTTTCATGGAAACATGCCATTAGTCTATGGAAAATATGACTTGAATAAAGTTTTCTAAGCCAGTGAATCCCACCTTATATTGCTTGTGAAATCCCAGGAATGATGCTATGTAGTTCAAAACTGGGTTCACTTCTTAAATGCCAGGATGTCAACCTGCAATCCTGTATGAGAAAGATGGAATGATCCTCTAACATGGCCTTCCCCATCCCACTGCCCAGTAAATGTTTTGGACTTCAACTTCCAGCCAGCATGTCCAGAAGTCAGGAATGCTAGGAGCTGTAAATCCAAAACATCTAGGAGGCACAAGGTTGGGGAAAGCTGCTGTAACATTTTTAGGATGCCTGGAGATTTTCTAGCATCAAATAACATGATGGAGGCTGAAAGAATGGCAGGAGACTGTCTAACATTATGGGGTGCAGTGCCTCATGCATGAATAATACATTGCACCCGCTAATATATTTCTCTAAGAGTAAAGGAAGATATAAACATTTTACAGAAAGCAGGAGCAATTAAAGGTGCCTCTGCTGCCCTTAAAAATATACATTTTTTCATATTTCAAAATTTCAAAAATAAAGGGTTGGGACAACTTTTGGTTTTCAAATATTTTGGCTTACAACCGGTAGGTATTTTTACCTGTCATCCCCCTATTGACTATGATTGCTAGGGATGATGGGAGGTGTAGACCAAAGTCCAGAAAACAAGTTGCCCACCCTGCAAGTGTATATTATATTCATGATGAGCTCTAAAAAATTTCTTCTGTAAATTTTCAGCATGTCAGGCAAGAAGCTGATTGTAGCAGATGCCTACTGGCTAATGCCCATAACTTCAGCAATCCTTAACATCATTTTATAACTGCTTTAAAACATTCATACAGTGGCCAGTCTGTCTGAAGCAGAAAGGAAGGTAAATGATAAAGAACTGATTCAGCACCCAACCTGCATCATCCTGTATCCATCCATCCATCCATCCATCCATCCATCCATCCATCTATCTTTGCACAAAGCAAGATGCAAAGCTATTGCCATTAAAAAGGGTATGTCTGTGTTCCGCTCTCCTTCATTCCTGGGATGCAGCATGCTGGCTCCCACAGGGAGCCTGTGATAAGCAGCTGTGATCACCAGGCTGATGTAGAAACAGCATAGCTCTGGAGCTTTGACAAAGAGCAGTTGGAAGAAATATTATCAGACCCATCCCATCTGTCAAGAGAAGCAGCAATCTTACCTGGCTGCCAGGGAGCAATGCGTGCTGATACAAGGGGAACCTGTCCTTTGCAGACTCCTCTGATGTCGGGCTGATGGGCTTGGGATCAGATAAGGATCTCTGCATGGTTTTGATGGGGCGAGGCAGGGTCTGCTGGCGCTGGGTGGAATCTGCCATGAAGTGCTTCTGTGGGGTCACATGGGCCTTGTTGAGCCTTTCACTGGTGGTGAAGGATGATTCCAACAAACGATGTGGGGAGAGGGGAGAGACTGGGGAATAAAGCACCTGGGGTGACTTGGGAGGCTGACGAGTCACCAGTTGAGACAGAGAATCTGCAGGCAAGTGGGACTGATAGCCAATTTCAAGGGGGTCAGGCTTTTTCTTCACCAGTGCTTGCTGTCGGACTGAATGGGGATCCAGCGGGCCTGTGCTTACAATCTGGATGTTGGAGGAGTAAGGTGTGATTGTTGTAGGCACAGTGAGCTGAGGGACCACAATGCCTGGCTGGGGCTGCACTTCTGGCTCCGTCTGGCAGGCCAGGCTCTCTCCTCGTTGAGTCTTTTCCGGGGCAGAGATGTACTTCACTATCTCCACCTTTGGGTCAGGCGTGGTGATGTGGATGGAAGGGGAAACCCTATGCAGCTGGTCAGGTTCTGTCTGCACAGAGCAGTCACTGATGGTTTGGATGGCTATACTGGCCATGCCTTTGGTGGAGGAGTCTTGCTTGCTCTCTGCGCTGGAGTCAGAATGTCGGGAGAAGCGGGAGCGTCGGCGCCGCACCGGCTGTTCCCACTCACCACTGTCTTCCTCATCGGTTTGGACGCTACAGTCAGTGCTGCGACGGGTGCGGCGTCGCCGGGAGGCATAGAAACGCTCCTCACCATCCTCCTCATCGGTCTGCACACTGCTGTCTGTGATCTTCTTCACAACATATGGCTCATGGCTGGTCTCCTTATCATAGGCATCCCGAAGACGTGGCATGGAGTTCCGCTTCTTTATCCCACGAGTGGCTTCCCACTGATCATCCGTCTGCAGGGACATTTCAGAAGCTGAGTTGGTGAGGGGCCTCTGGTGCCCTGGATAACGAGGAGGCAGCTGGCCTTGCCCATCTTGCCCGGGAACAGCAGTTGCCATGAAGGCTTGGTTTAGTGGGGGCCAGTATTGCCCATTCTGAGCCAAGGTCCTTTGCATTTCTATGGCTATTTCAGACACCGCCTGGGGCGGAATCCTACCTGTTGGGTCACATACTGGAGGAAAGGCACTCTTTTGCCTCTTCTGCTCCTCCAACTGCTGCTGCAGCTGTTGCTGCAGCTGCTGGATTTGCTCCAACTGCAAGCGCTGCTGGGCCAGCTGCTCCCGCTGCAAGGCGAACTGGGCCTGGCGCTCCTCCTGCTGCTGTTGCAGGACTTGGTGCTTTATAGAGTGCAGCTCTTGGATCTCCCTGTGCATCAGCAGTTGCTCCTTCTCTCGGTGTCTCTGCAGCTCCACACGTTCCCTTTCCAGCTCCTCATGTAGCCTCAGCTGCCTCAGTTTCTCCAGCTCCACCTTCTCCCTCTCAATCTGGAGGATGTGCTCCTGCTGCTTCCTCTGCCTCTCCTCCTCCTTCTCCTTTTCTTCCCGTTCTGTGGTTCCCTTGCTGGACTGTGGAGCTTCTGCTTGCTGCTTCTGAATGGGTAACTGAGGTGGTGGTGGCGGCGGCTGTGGTGGTGGTGGCAGTGGCTGCGGTGGCTGCTGCTGCTGTGCCTGGCTGGCATCTCGGGCAATACTCTGTGCCCCAGAAGCTGCCACAGCCACCTCTTCTCGTACGCCAGTGGCTGCCTGCTCAGGTCTCTGCAAGCTAACAGTGGTTGGAACGGAGGGCTTGGAAGCTGGTGCTGGGCTGACACTACTCATGGCAGTGCTGGCTGCAGTGGTGCTGACAGGCTTGCCCAAGTACATGGGTGTTTCCATCACGGATGATGCGGGGGCTACTGGGAGCCTGCTGGGTGCTGGGTAGCGATACAGACCTTGGGCTGCAAGGGGCATCCGTGGAGTAACAAGGGGCATCCTGGTCAGGCTCGCCAGAGGGACTGCTGTGATTCCACCTGGAACATAGGGCCTATAGAGGCTTCGGAGCATGGGCCGTAGCACAGATGCCGGCTGAGTGGTGATGGGAAGGGTTGATGCTATTGGTGTATTAATGGTTGAATAAATCATGCCATCAGCAGCTCGCACAGTGGCGGTGGAAGGGAGCACCTGTCTGACAGCTCCAAGCCTAGAGAGATTGTATTGGGCTAGGTTTCCAAAGCCTGGGCGAGACTCTGGAAAACTGGGGTTGTACATCATATTTGGTTTCATGGTGCCCTGCTGAGCTGAGATGCCTCTGCTGCCCCCAGGCCCAGCAGCAAGAGCACTGTGTCCATACTGGAGAAGGTCTGGGCTGTTTGTTCGCCTGGCCCCGTACTGGTCCATGGAGTTCAGTGCTGCACACATCCGGCTGATTTCACGAGCTGTTGTAGCACTATAATGAGCCAGGCTGGCTTCCTGGAAATTTGTTAAGTCCCCTCTTGGTGAATATCTATAATCAGAGTAGATGTTAGAAGCCGAGCTGTACCTCCGCATCGGATATGAATGGCTGAGCAAATCAGTGGGCTGTCGGAGGTCAGAGAAAGAGCCGTATTGCATTCCATGTCCCATGTAGCCTCCCTCAGCAAAGCTGTGGCTGTATGAATGTTTCATGGTTGTCAAATCCACAGCAGAATCCCCGGCAGGGGAGTGAAAGGGCTGCTCTCCTTTAACTGAGTAATAGTTCAAACCCATTTCAGAAAGGTTGGTATCTGACATTGATGAGTACAGTCGCCCAAACAGGCCATGAGGGTGGAACCGGTGCTCTTCGTATGGGTTAGGCCCTGGCACTGTGTGCTCTCTATAAGGGTACGTATCCAGTGCTTCCTGTTCTCTGCTTCCATAGTACTGGCTGCTAGGTTTGCCAGTGGGAACTGCATCCCCAACATTTTTCTCTGGCACCTTGGAAGAAGGGTTGAAAGCCCCAGTGCAGCTGCCTGCAAATGGAAACTTGTACACTACATCACAACAAGCCACTTGGCTCTCGGGCTTCATTCCTGTGAGATCCAGTGCATTGGAAGGAGGTTCTTCTTTGATTAGTTTTGTGACAGGGCCTGCTGCAATCTCATCCATCTGCACCATCATCACCTGGGATTTCTTACTTCCAAGGGTGACTGATGGAGTTGGAGTCTTCAGTTCCACTGGGATCCCTCTATATACCTCCGAGCTTTGATCCTGAGGAAACTGCCTGGGAATGGCACTAACAACATTTTGTGCATTACTGGGCTGAGTATCTTTCTTCATCAAGGATGTCATCTGGTTGGGCAAATTATATCTTGCAAATTTTGCTTGTTGTGGACCTGCAGAGTCTGGCCAACCCCCAGAAGCAGGCATGCCTGCTCCACTTGCACTTCCTCGGAAGGTGCCAGTCTGAACTGATTGTTCTACCTGCTTAATGTGTGTCAGACACACCGGACTCCCTGTCCCTTGGCCAAAGTCCATTCTGTTTTGGAAAGGGTCTCCATAGACTGCAGGCTGCTTTGGCTGAGACACAAGCATGGAAGATGCAACTGCTATGCTGACAGTGGTAGCTGTGCTTATGATGGCATGGGGTTGTTCCTGGGCGTTAAGGTTGATAATTAGGGGTTGGATGGCTGTGGACTGACGACTTGGTGACTGGTCCATAGTGAGGCAATATTTTCTGCTATCAGTAGCTAGGGATGTGAGATCCATTCCTTGGTCTGTTATGATGATTGGAGCTGACTTGATTGCCGTCCGCAGGTCTACAATGTTACTACCAGGAGGTCTGGGTCCAGGTTCTACTCTGGATGTACCGGGTATGGATGATATCCTACATAAAGTAATGTTCTCTGCAGGTAGGGTTCCCCAGCTGTACACTCCAGGAACACTATCAGGAGCAGCAGTGCTTTGTGCTTTCTGCACTGCCGCACTATACACAGAGGCTCTTTCTAGTGCTGATTGTGTTTTTGAGTAGGTGGGCTGCAGCTGCTCTTGCTGGAGTTGTGCTGCATGGATTACTGTCTGGCTGTAACTATGCACTGTTTGCTGGCGGCCTTGCTGGATTGGAGATGAGGCTGGGGAAATGGAGGAACTTACACTGACTGGCTTGGTTTGAATTGCTGCATCAGAAGCTAATGTGATGACCATGAAGGGGGATTCTTGGGAAGACTGCTGCCTAGTAAGCCGTGGGGAGCTGGACCGGTGAGGAGTTTGTGTCCCTTGGGCTATCATGGGAGAGGATGTTGATATGACAGCAGTAGCTGGGATGTCATATGAGATCATTGTGCTGTGTGTTTGAGTGGAAAACTCAGCAGTTGATTTAGTTCCCACCCCTGAACTGGGTGGCATTCCAGTTCTTGGAGTAGCATGAGTGGGACTTTGAGTAGGAGAAGAAGGGGACAGTGGTGGGCTGGAGCTTTTGTAGAAAGAATAGATTTTAGGTGTTGACATGGGGACATTTGTCTTGCTCTCAGTCATGCTTTGGAGTTTCTCTCTTGCTGCTGACCCACTGATTTCTGTCACACCCTTGACCCTGGAAATATTTTCTGTTTGAGAGCCATAACTTGCTGTCACTTTGGTTTGACTATAACTTCGGCTAGTGGTGGACCCAGATGGTGCATCTGAGCTGCTCAGAGAAACTGGCGTGCTGTAGATTCGAGGTGAACTTGCTGGACTAGAAACAACAGTGGTGACTGTGCTAGATCCTTTTGTGTACGAATAGGGAATTGTTACACTCTTTGAAACTGAGCTAGGTGCAGTAAGTGAGCTGTGAAGCTTGGCCTGCTCATGACTCTCCTTTGCAAAATGCTGAGTTACTCTGACATCAGGGATTATTCTACTCGCACTACTTTCGGTGGATGAAAAGGAGACAGGAGCAGACAGCTGTGTAGGACTTGTCCCAGGAGTGAGAGGGCCACTTTCGTATGCACTCTCTGCATTCAGAAACTGCTTGTCTTGATATAGGTCTTCTCTCCCTTTCTTTTTGACTTCCTGTTCAAGTGCCAGATCCAAAGAAGAGGACTGATGCATCCTGGAGATATTCTGTGATGTCTGAAGGATTTCTTCATAAACTGCCCCAGATTTGGAAAGTTCACTTTGGTAGTCAGCTTGAGAAGAATCCAGATTCTGGCTATCATAGCTGTAGTCATCTATGTACTGGTATTCAAAATTATTTTGTCCTTCCAAACTACGGTAGCCTACTTGCTGGAAGGTGTTGCTATAGGAGACACTCTGTTGAGAAGGCTGCTGCTTCTGGAACATTTCCGCCTTCCTCATCATTTCTTCATAGGCTTCTTCTGCACTTTTCAAAGGCTTGCTGGAAGGGTAACCAGAACTAGCAGTCTTTTCTGTTGGAGAATAGAGGGACATAAATGTTGGAAGATTGTACTCACTGCCAGATTTGTACAGTTTAGAGGCAATTACATCAAACCCTTCTGCTTCTGAGTCAATAGATGGTGAGTATTCTGAACAGGAAGACCTGTGCAGCTCCTCCATCTCTGCAGCCTGCCGTAGTTCCTCAGTAGGTGAAGCATCTTCAATAGGAGACAGGTTGCTGGGTGGAGTTTTGGATCTCTCTCTCCTCCTCTGTGCCCTCAGCTCTTCTTTATCTCTTTTTGTTTTGCGAGCTGTACTTCGGATGCGCTGCTGTTCCACCTCCCGCATTTTTTCCTGTTCTCGCAAGAGCTCCTCCTCCTCACGCAGTTCCTCTTCCTCAGAAGAGTCTTCTATTGTTGGCAGCAGAGGGCCATGGGAGCGATGCCGGGCTTTTCTCTGCTGCTTGACCTCTTCCAGTCTCTGCCTGCGGCTGGGGCTGCTATCACTGTCCTCCTCTAAGGAAGAGATGGAGGTGGGGGAGGTTCCTGATGTGTAACTGGGTGTTGTTGCTGGCAAGGTGGAGGAATATTCACCTCTTGATCTGTCCTCTGGGGAACCTGTCAGACTCTCCATCTCCAGTTCAGGCTCTCTATCCAGGCTGATGTCTGCTTCCTGGCTGATCTCCATATCTCTGCCATAGTTGTTAGTGCTGTTTAACTCAATGGTCTTGAAACGACGCAAACCACCCTGAGATGCAGTCATGTCGTCCCCCTCGGAACTTTCCAGCTCTTTTCTTTCCTCTTCATATATGTTGCCAGAGCCATGAGGCAGGCGTCTCTTGGAAGGGGTAGCCTCTCTACTTTTTTCAGAGTCAGGCTTGTGTCCATTTTTTGAAACACTATATTTTACACGATCATATTCATCCTCCTCCTCAAGGTTATCTTCTTCTGCACTCATCTCCAGGAGCTGCCTCCTCATGAACTCTTCATCTGTCATCTCAGGCTCTTTGCCTTTTTGCCTGGTTGGTAATGGGGAGAAGCCTCCTTCACTGCTGTCCTCCACATAGTCGTGGCGCAGCTTGCTGCCAAAGTCATCTGAAGACTCCATACTCTCTCTCTGTTCCCTCTGGTTCTCCCATTCTAGGGAATCCTCATCTTCTTCCATGATGTCTTCGAGCTCCTCATCAGAATCAAAGGCTTCTGGGGTGATAGAGAGGGACCGTGGCCTCTGTCGCTGCTTCTGCTCCTCACGTAATTCATGATATGCCTTCCCTTTATCGGTTGGTTCTTGGCTTAAGCCTTTTGACTCCAGTAGAGGCCGCATGCTGCTTTCCAGCTTAGTAAGTTCAGA